TTTTTAATACAGGGCCACATTCTCTCAGGAGATGTGCTTGCTCAACCCTTCTGAGGGAATATGGGAGGTGTAGTCCAACAACATTTGTAGGAATTTTGTGCCTTAAATCTCTGAGGACATGGGGAACAAAAAGAGTTCCCTCACTTTTTCATCCTTCTGTCCTTATATGCGGAAGGTTGAGACCTGCAACCAAAATGGAACCGTTGAGAAACAGTTTTTTCTCTTAATATGTGTGTATGTGTGTTTACATTCAGTTTGCTTTGCACTTGTGAACAATTTAAGTGCTACCAGCATGCTCATGAGATCCCTGACACTTGCAGATATATAAAACATCCTTAAATTATAATAAGTAGGAGGTGGTACATTGAGGTTGTTGGAAAGGAGAAAGACTGGACCACTAGTGAGCCATGGGGAATGGAGTGGGTTACTCAGTGAAGATAGATACTGTCTCAAAGCACTCCTGTTACACACTTTGGGTCTTCTGGCCCCCACCATTTCAGATAAAGGATATAATAATAGTAATAATAATAATAATAATAATAATAATAATAATAATAATAATAATAATAATATCATCAAGACCTCAAAATCGAACTGCAAGACTCTGGCATAAACCAGTACAGGTGGTCTCAGTGGTCCTCAGCACACTGGGTGCCGTGCCAAAAGATCTCAGCCAACATTTGGAAACAATAAACGTCAACAAAATCACGATCTGTCAACTGCAAAAGGCCACCTTACTTGGATCTGTGCGCATCATTTGAAAATACATCACACAGTCCTAGACGCTTGGGAAGTGTTTGACTTGTGATTTTGTGATACAAAATCCAGCATTTTGATCTCATTTGCTGTGACATACTGTGCTTTTGTGTCAATAATAATAATAATAATAATAATAATAAACTTTATTTATACCCCACCACCATCTCCGATAGGGACTTGGTATGGCTCAGAAAACAGCACATGATGGTGCCATACAACACATAAAATACTCAACCTTTGATAGACTAGTAGTGATCAGACAGCAGCAACAGAGCTGCGCATGGCTCTTGGCTTATTCTCATTTGACCCTTTGCTTAATTATACTATATCTGTATGTGTGTGTGAATAATATATATCTATCTATATCTATGGCTGGATGGCTCTTTATCAGGAGGGCTTTGATTATGTTTTTTTGCCCTGGTGAAGAGAATTGGACTGGGTGGCCTTAAGTATTTTCTGTTGGTCATGGGAGTTCTCTGTGGGAAATTTGGCCCAATTCTCTCGTTGGTGTGCTTCAGAATGCTCTTTGATTGTAGGTGAATTATAAATCCCAGTATCTACAACTCCCAAATGTCAAGGTTTATTTTCCCCAAACTCCATCTGTATTCATATTTGGACATATGGGATATTCGTTCCAAGTTTGGTCCAGATCCATCATTGTTTGAATCACAGTGCTGTCTGGATGCAGGTGAACTACAACTCCCAAACACAAGGTCAATGCCCACCAAACCCTTCTAGTGTTTTCTATTGCTCATGGGAGTTCTGTGTGCCACGTTTGGTTCAATCCCATTGTTGGTGGAGCTCAGAATGCTCTTTGATTGTAGGTTAACTATAAATCCCAGCAACAACAATTCCCAGACGACAAAACCAATTTTTTGAGTGATGGTCCCTTTTTGGGTTAGTAAGTGCCTTGTGGCCAAATTTGGCGGCAATTCATCCAGTAGTCTTTGAGTTATGTTAATCCCACAAACGAACATTACATTTTTATTTATATAGATGTGTTTTGATTCACTGTTGATGTATGATGTTTTATATTTTTATTGTTAACACTGAATTCTTGCTGTTTGCCGGTCTGAGCCCCTCTATGGAGGTAGAGAAGATTGGGATATAGAAGTTTTAAATAAATAAATAAATGCATAAATAAATAGATTGTTGTAGGTTTTTTCGGGCCATATGGTCAAGGTCTAGAGGCATTCTCTCCTGACGTTTCACCTGCATCTATGGCAAGCATCCTCACTACCTTTGAGGATGCTTGCCATAGATGCAGGCGAAACGTCAGGAGAGAATGCTTCTAGACCATGGCCATATAGCCCGAAAAAACCTACAACAATCCAGTGATTCCGGCCCTGAAAGCCTTCCACAATACATAAATAATAATAATAATAAAAAGGTAGCTTCCCTCTGTAATAGAGACCATTTGAATGGAAGAAAGTGGAATGCGGATACCCATAACACCATCCACTCTATGTGTCTTTTAAAGAGTAGGTTGCGTAATGAAGCTTGAGAGGGTGGCATTGTGGAAGTCAGTTTATATTGGCTCAACTGGGAAAAGAAGGGATTAAAATGAGAATAATCAGAGTAATCTTCTGCGAGCGGAAATATGACAATCTATATGTGTTCCACCCTAAGCTGCTTGGAAAAGAGGGTAAGAGCCAAACCTTGCGGGTTCAGCAATTGCTAGCACCAAAAACAGGATATTGGATGGCACATACTGTCATATTAACAGTTGCAGACCACTTATTGCACACTAAAGGCACTGTATAAATAAATGAAATAACAACAACAGCAATTATAATAGTGCTTCCCACCCAGTCATCTGTCGCCTTTGCCAAGTGCAATCTTTCCTCTGTCTTTGGAAACAATTATACTCCAGTCTTTCGACTAGTACAAGGTTTTGTCGTGGGAAAATAACTTTTTTCTTTCCAAGTCAGAAGAAACAAGAGACTGTGGAGGCTTTTGCTTTCTTGTGTGGCAGTTCTGTTGTATTATTTCAGAGAAAGAGACGATCAAGTAGCTCTGTCTGTTGGCATTCCTGTTCCCCAGTTCTGGCATGCTGGATTGTGTGGATTGATTTCCAAGGGTTGCTTAAGAGGATGATCTCATCTTGTGATATGCAGCATTCAAATGGATCTTGTAGCACCCTTGAGAGTCACTCAGAGAAAGAAATCGTTGCAGAAGCTTTCGTAGATCTAGTGTGCATCTACGAGGGTTGAATGAAAAGTAATGCCTCCACCTTCGTTATTTGGGTTTGGATGGGAATATTTTAATAAATCAAATGCAGAAATAATCCTTAGAATGTGCTCTTTAACTACCACTATTCACTTTTCCATTTAGCCTAGAGAAGACAGTTATGCTGGGGAAAGTGGAAGGTAAAAGGAGAGGGGCCGACCAAGGGCAAGATGGATGGATGGCATCCTTGAAGTGACTGGACTGACCTTGAAGGAGCTGGGGGTGGTGACGGCCGACAGGGAGCTCTGGTGGGCTGGTCCATGAGGTCACGAAGAGTCGGAGACGACTGAACGAATGAACAACAAATTCACTTTTCTACATAATCACCAGACAATTGGATACATTTCTGCCAACAATGAACAAGTTTTCTGAAGCTGTCACAGAAGAAGTCGACACTCTTTTTCCGTAATCAATCAGGCACAGATCTTCCGATAGCTAAGCAAAGCAATAATGTGACCAACACGTTCTTGTGAAATGCCGATTATGCTTGAAATTTCTCTCTTGAGTGATATGACGATCGTCCTGAATCAATCTGTCAACCTTTTGCTTGTGAAACTCGGTGGTTGCTGTCACAGGACGTCCATTATTATTATTATTATTATTATTATTATTATTATTATAAACTTTATTTAATACCCTGCCACCATCTCGGGACAGCTTACATGAGGCCAAGCCCAATAGCATATTACAATAAAGTAAAACCAAAACACAATAACAACACAGTAAAATACATACAGCATATGAGTACAAAGACGATAAAGCAAAATCATACACAGTAAAATAAAATAACATAACAATGAGCGGGCCGCATGTGCAAGATAAAAACTAAGATACTAAAAATACTAAAATCAGGATGAGATAGGGATGGAGCAGATTGTTTGTGGGGGAGAAACTCGTAACTCTTTGTCACGAAGTCAGATGTTTCCACCTTAACATCTTTAAACTTTCTCGCCCAACGATGCACAGTACTCACATCAACACAATCACCATAAACAGCTTGCATTCTCTGATGAATCTCCTTTAGGGTGACAATTTCTGCTGTCAAGAATTCAATTACTGCACGTTGCTTAAATCGCATTGACCGACCGTCTGTGCAGGGTTCCATACTTCGCACTTTAACATCACAACCGTTCAATGCTAAGGCTTCCTGCCAAAATGGAACTGTAGAGGAGAGTCTACTGAACAAGCCAGTACCTGCTGCATACCAGTACTGCCATCTGTTGAGGAGTTATGGAGGCATTAATTTTCATTCAACCCTTAAAGTAATGCAGTTGGACCCCACAGCCACCTAAAGTGCTACAACCCAGATACAGGTTCGGTACTTGTGAGGACGAAGTAAGGCTCTCTTAAGACTCTTTCACATTGCAAATTATGGTGTTTTGAGTCATAGAATCATAGAGTTGGAAGAGACCTCGTGGGCCATCCAATCCAACCCCCTGCCAAAAAGCAGGAAATTGCTTTCAAAGCACCCCCGACAGATGGCCATCCAGCCTCTATTTAAAAGCCTCCAAAGAAGGAGCCTCCACCACACTTCGAGCAGAGAGTTCCAGAAAGTTCTTCCTAATGTCCTTCCCAGGTTGCATCCTATAGCATTGTGGGGTTTTTAGTTTGCTCAGAGACCTTTCTAGCTGACAGTTGTAATGCCCCTTCCCTAAACTGTAAACCTCAGGAATCTATAGGATGTTGCTATGGAAGTTGAAGTGGAAACACAACACCAAAATTGTGTAGTGTGAATGGGGCCTTGTGCCATAATAAAGATCTCATATAGATTTGACCAAATAGGGTTCCTTTCAGCATAGGAAACAGACCCTTCTCGCAACTCCGGAATTCCTATTTTAGGAACATATACTTTTGTAGAAAAAACTACTGGGAACACTGCCAAATATATATCCCAGGCAGTCTCTGTTTCTGCTGCTTCCTTCCTAACTTCAGCAATTGTATAAGGCCATGATATGAAAGGATGTAGACCTGTTTGGACTGTGTGTTCTAACTTTCTCACTTTCTTGCTTCAGATTTGCTCCCGCCAGGCGTCTGCAATCTTCTGAACCCCTCGACCATCTATGCCAACAATGAGATCTCACTGAATACTATTGAGGTCTATGGCTTTGACTATGACTACACTCTGGCATTGTACTCTCCTGCCCTCCATTCCCGCATCTATAACACTGCCCGAGACATCCTTGTGGAGCAGTATAAGGTAACTCTAAGACCTCACTTCTCCTGAGTGAAATGGGATCGTTCTGTGTACTGTCGAAGGCTTTCATGGCCAAAATTGTTGGGATGTTGTGTGGTTACTGGGTGTATGGCTGAGTTCTAGCAGCATTTTCTTCTGACGTTTGCCTGCATCTGTGGCTGGCATCTTCCACAGGAGAAAATGCTGCTAGAGAAGTGTTTCTCAACCTTCCTAATGCCACAAGCCCTCAATACAGTTCCTCATGTTGTGGTGACCCCCAACCATAACATGATTTTCGTTGCTACTTCATAACTGTCATTTTGCTACTGTTATGAATTGTAACGTAAATATCTGATATGCAGGTTGTATTTTCATTCACTGGAACAAATTTGGCACAAATAAATGATACACCCAAATTTGAATACTGGTGGGGTTCGGAGGGCCAGGGGGCAGGGGGTTGATGTTGTCATTTGCGAATTGTAGTTGCTGGGATTTATAGTTCACCTACCATCAAAGAGCATTCCGAACTCCACCAACAATGCAATTAAACCAAACTGGGCACACAGAACTCCCATGATCAACAGAAAATACTGAAAAGGTTTGATGGGCATTGGCCTTGAATTTGGGAGTTGTAGTTCACCTACATCCAGAGAGCACTATGGATCTGGACCAAATTTGGCATGAATACTCAATATGCCCAAATGTGAATACTGCTGGAGTTTTAGAAACTAGAGCTTGACATTTGGAAGTTGTAGTTTCTGGGTTTTATAGTTCAGCTACAATCAGAGAGCATTCTGAACCCCACCTACGATAGAATTGGGTCAAACTTCCCACACAGAACCCCCATGACCAACAGGAAATACTGTGTTTTCTGATGGTCTTTGGCGACCCCTCTTACACCCCCCTCGAGACCCCCCCAGGGGTCCCCACCCTAGGTTGAGAAACGCTGTGCTAGAGCATGGCCATACTACCCAGAAACCAATGATTGTTTTGATTCAATGCAGCATGGAATTGGTACTCTGTGTTTGGCCAGGAAACTTTGGCGAAAGGTACAAGGAAAATTTAAACACTTGAAAGCCATAATGCAGGGGTTCAGTCCTCCACTTTTGTGACATTTCCCCTTTCCCATATTTTTAAAAAGGCATTTTTTGGGGGGGATTTTTGTTCTCAGACCCATACAGAAAGCACCTCCAATGAAAATGTGAAAGAATACCCCACCCTGCAAATATCTGAGAACCCTATATGACCTCCCAAACATTTTTGTCTGCAGCCTCTCCCAAAATGATGGCAGAACATAAGTAATTTTCTGTTGTCATTTTGAGAAGGACTGCTTGGGGGAAAACGGAAGTATTTCGGTTTGCCTGGAGGATGTGAGCCTCATAAGAGTTTGTGCAGGTGAATTGCCCCTGCCTCCCACAGATGTCTTAGGGTCGAATTAGGCGTGATGTTAGGATTTTGTTTGTTCACATGTCTGACTTACTAGTGTTTAAACTAGGTGTGGGTGACTACTCCTACACCAAAAGAAGTATTTTGGTGAGAAACTGGATCTTCCTGTTTCAACTTGAGCACTTTTCTCCTAAGCTTGGTAATCAGTTCCCAGAGTTGGATGGTCTGAAGAGAGAATGCTTAGAGAGTTTGACATTTCTCAACTCTGTGCCCCATCGATATTACAAAGGACCCTAGTTTATATGTTTTTTTTGTCGTGTCAGGAGCAACTTGAGAAACTGCAAGTTGCTTCTGGTGTGAGAGAATTGGCCGTCTGCAAGGACGTTGCCCAGGGGACGCCTGGATGATTGGATATTTTTATCATCCTTGTGGGAGGCTTCTCTCATGTCTCCGCATGAGGAGCTGGAGCTGATAGAGGGAGCTCATTCGCCTCTCCCCGGCTCCAAACCTGTGACCTGTCGGTCTTCAGTCCTGCCGGCACAGGGGTTTAACCCACTGCGTCACCGTGGGCTCAGTTTATATGTGAACAATGTAGAGACATGGGTGTCCTGTTATGTCTCACTAGAAGCTGTAGTTTGGAGAGATTGGGATTGCGGGGATTGGGATTGGGGGTGGGATATGAGGTTTGAAGGCAGTTTTAGCATATTTATTGTATTTTATTTCTGTTTTTAACACACTGTTACTATTTAATTTTTTTTTTTACTTTTGTATTGCACTAAACTTGTCTAGTGTGGATTGTTAGCCGCCTTGAGTCCCTATCGGGAGAAAGGCAGAGTATGAATAAAGTTAATAATTATAACAGTAATAGTAGTGGTAGTAGTTGGTAAATACAATGAGTCTTTGATATCTGCTGGGGTTTGGTTCCAGAACCCTCATGTAGATACCAAACCCCATGGATACTCAAATCCTATTATATATAATGGCATAATAAAATTTAGGACTGGGGTCGGGTAAGGGACCTTTGAGGGCCCCACCTGGTCCGTGGGCCTTAGTTTGGGGACCCCTGATCTAGAAATTATCTGAAGATTGCTTCCAAAATATACCCAGGGCCAACTGTACTTTCCCTGCCCTTTCCCAGCTCAAGCTTTATTGCATTGGTTACTCTGGATCAGTGGTTCTCAACCTTCCTAACGCCACGACCCCTTCATACAGTTCCTTATGTTGTGGTGACTCCCAACCATAACATTACTTTAGTTGCTACTTCATAACTGTAATTTTGCTACTGTTATGAATCGTCATGCAAATATCTCATATGCAGGTCTATTTCCATTCACTGGACCAAATTTGGCACAAATACACGATATGCCCAAATTTGAATACTGGTGGGGTTTGGGGAAAATAGACCTTGACATTTGGGAGTTGTAGTTTCTGGGATTTATAGTTCACCTACAATCAAAAAGCATTCTGAACTCCACCAACGATGGAATGGAACCAAACTTGGCACACAAAACTCCCATGACCAACAGAAATTACTGGAAGGATTTGATGGGCATTGACCTTGAGTTTGGGAGTTGTAGTTCACCTAAATCCAAGAGGTCACTGTGGACTCAAACAATGATAGATATGGACCAAACGTGGCATGAAAACTCAATATGCCCAAATGTGAACACTGGTGGAGTTTGGATGAAAAATAGACCTTGACATTTGGAAGTTGTAGTTGCTGGGATTTATAGTTTACCTACAATCAAAGAGCACTCTGAACCCCACCGACAGAATTGGGCCAAATGTCCCACACCGAACCCCCATGACCAACAGAAAATATTGTTTTCTGATGGTCTTTGGTGACCCGTCTGGCACCCCCACATGACCCCCCAGGGGTCCCGACCCCCAGGTTGAGAAATGCTGCTCTGGATAGATTGTTGCAACCTGACAAGTTTCTCCATACTTCCTTCACCATCCTCCCAGTGCCAAAGCTGCTAAAAAGACATCCAGCTATCCAGAGGATGATGAAGAAAAGGGTTGGGCAAGTGTAAAAGACTGTAAAAAGGGCTTCTTTGTCAGAGGCTTTAATAACTGAAGTATGCCTGTTGTTTTTAGTGTCCCTGTTTTGTTAATGATCTGTTTTGTTCCTTCTCGTCAGTATCCAAAGGGCATCTTGGAGTACGAATACTGGCCCACTTTTGCCATTCGAGGTTTGCACTACGACATTGCGAAGGTGAGAGGACAATGTTATTAATTCTGTTTTCATGTTTGCATATTTGCATATTTTAAACTGGATATCAATGCTTTTATGTCAGGCCATTTTGAGTCCCCTTTAGGGAGATAAAGTGTGGTATAAATAAATATACTAATAATACTAATACTACTAATAATGGTGGCTCAGTTGTCTTAATGGTGGCACTGGGAGAGTCCAGAATGTTCTTTCCTTTCCTCTCCTCCACACACACACACACTTACCATGTACAGAATTCCTATTGTGTATTGGCCCTTGTCAACATCATTGTCAAATAGGAATAGCTGCCCAGTGGTGGAGTATGAGTTAGTTTGTATTGATCTTTTTTTGCATTAGCTCTGCAGTTTGCGGCTGGGAAAATTTATGAAGACTAGGTAGGAATGGACTTTTGGAGTGGTTTTTCCTCTGTTACTAACTGTCTTGCATAGTTCTTATAGCTATTGCTTGGAGGAAATGAGTCATGCTCGCATGCTTTGATTGTTTTGTTTCTGCACCAAATAACTCTTGGGGGTACGTTAACCATCCTCTTCACCCGGGGTATGTACGCAAGTCCTAGGGTTCCTCATTGAGCCAACAGTGGGGTGAAAGATAGTTTGGGTAGATAGAATTAGTTACTCAGATATGGATTCTACCATTGTGTATGAGGGGACCCTAACTCCAAAAGGGCCTGGAATGTTTATCTTTTGTGTACTATGTATGGCATCATTGAGCACCAGTAAAACTTGCAATATTTTATAGCAATTTGGCACCAGGTTAGGGAGACCACGAACTACATCCAGTTTGAGAGCACAACAGTTCTGACTCTGACCTTTCTCTTCGTTACTCACCATAGGGTTTGCTCATGAAGATAGATGCCTTTCACTACATCCAACTGGGCACTGTGTACAGGTGAGTGGCCTTTGATCCAAAAGTCTGGGACGGGACCAATTAGGACAGATGACAGCTAGAAAGAAAGATTAAATGTTGAAGTGCATGTCTGTCAACATACCGTATATACTCGAGTATAAGCCGACCCGAATATAAGCCGAGGCACCTAAAAAACTGGGGAAACGGATTGACTCAAGTATAAGGCGAGGGTGGGAAATGCAGCCGCTACTGGTAAATTCCAAAATAAAAATAGATATAAAAAATTGCATTAATTGAGGCATCGATAGGTTAAATGTTTTGGAATAAAACTGCAAGTTAAGATAAGACTGTCCTCTGATTAAAGCAGGGGGTCCCCAAACGAAGGCCCGCGGGCCACTTCCAGCCCGCCAAGGGCACTTATCCGGCCTGCGGAGGAGGAGCGCCCTCCCCCACAGTGCCCCTCCCTTGGCTGGCTCACGCTATCCGTCAGGACTTGCTGCTCTGCGTAGGCAACTGCTCCATGTGGCCTACTCGCGCGTAAAGCATCTCGCGAGGTGCTTTACGCGCAAGTAGGCCGCGCGGTGCTGCTCCTCCCTTGGCAGGCTCATGCTATCCGTCAGGCCCGATGGGCAGCGTGAGCCAGCCAAGGGAGGCTGCCCCGGCGCTCCATGCAGTCATGCCAGCCACATGACCTTGGAGGTGTCTACGGACAACGCCGGCTCTTTGACTTAGAAATGCAGATGAGCACCACACCCCAGAGTCAGACACGACTGGACTTCATGTCAGAGGAAAACCTTTAACCAGGAAAATTGTGGAAGATCCAGGGTGGGAGAAAGAACTCTTGTCTGTTGGAGGTAGGTATGAATGTTTCAATTGGCCACCTTGATTGCCATTTCATAGCCTGACAGTGTTTAGGGAGAATCCTTTGTTGAGAGGTGATTAGCTGGCCCTGATTGTTTCTTGTCTGGAGTTCCCCTGTGTTTGAGTGTTGTTCTTTATTTACAGTTATAATTATTTTAGAGTTTTTTTAATACTGGTAGCCAGATTTTGTTCAGACTAGAAATAGGAAGATTTCCCATTCTCTGCTCCTGGAATTACTGCCTAAAGAGGGCTAGAAAGAACCCCCTCTAAGGGCCCTTCCACACAGCAAAATAAGATATGTGCAATGTGCATAGGAATTTTTAATTGATTTTTTTTTTAAAAAAAACTATAGTCCGGCCCTCCAACAGTCTGAGGGACAGTGAACTGGCCCCCGGTTTAAAAAGTTTGAGGACCCCTGGATTAAAGCATTATTCTAACCTTCTTCAATGTAAATGTGTTTACATATCCTTCCAATAATAATAGAGTAAAATAATAAATGTAATAATAACAATAATAATAAAGACTAAAATAATAAATGTAATAATAATAGAATAAAATGATTAATGTAATAATTATAATAGTAATAATAATAATAATAATAGAGTTAAATAATAAAAAAAACTTTGACTCGAGTATAAGCCAAGGGAGACTTTTTCAGCCTAAAAAAAGGACTGAAAAACTAGGCTTATACTCGATTATATACAGTAAATCTTCCCTTTCCTTGGTAGACATAGAAAAAAGCAATATTTATATACCTCAATCTTGTGCATTGTTTCAGGATTTTAGATTTAATCTTTAAACAAATTACTATAGATAAATTAGAAAACTACGTTCCCTTCCTCCTCCCTTGCAAATTCTCGTTAAGAGGAATCCCTGGTTTGTATTAATAATGAAGATCAATGGTGTATGTGTTAAACTGTGCCAACTGTGTATACTTTGGCCTTTTAGTCGCTTTGAACTCATTATAATATTTTTACCAGTAGCCATTCTAGATTGGGTTGTTGTAGGTTTTTTCGGGCTATATGCCATGTTCTAGAAGCATTTTCTCCTGACGTTTAACCTGCATCTATGGCAAGCATCGTCAGAGGTAGTGTCTACCTCTGAGGATGCTTGCCATAGATGCAGGCAAAACGTCAGGAGAAATGCCTCTAGAACATGGCCATATAGCCCAAAAAAACCTACAACAACCCAGTGATTCCGGACATGAAAGCCTTCGACAATACATTCTAGACAATACAAATCCAATAAGGGTTGGAAACCAGACTGCCAATGCAATTGGCAGTCTGGTTTCCAACCCTTATTGGATTTGCTTAGACCCATGGTTCCGACCCATACCTCTTGACCTAAGCCCTTTTCCCACTTCTTGTCCTCCTCAGGGGTTTGAAACCTGTTCCAGATGATGAAGTGTTGGAGATGTATGACGGTACCCATCACATCCCGCTGCATCAGGCGAGTGGCTTCTACGGAAAGGTAGGGTGCCTGATCAACTCCTTGAGCATCATGATGCCTAGCCTCAATTTCTAACTGATGTTGAGTACTGGCCATGTGTACATAGGGGACAGCTATTACTGACTTAAGACACATACATACCTGTAGAGTTTTCTCAAGTGATAATGGTCTTTCAGTAACAGTCATAGGATTGTTTTGACCTGGAAGTTTGAATAGTCTTCAGCAGCACATCCCCTCTAAGGTAGACATCCATGTTCACATATATGAGTAGCCAGTTGTGTTGTTTTGGAGTTTTTGCAAGCCTTGGGGGTTGAAATTGGGGCAAGGTGCTCTTGTTTCGAAGCTTATTTTTGTTGGAGTGAGTGCACTTTATTAGAGACATGGACCATTCTGCAAAACCATCTCACACATACTCGAAGCGAATCAGGCAGAGTTGGACTGGACTTGCTTCTGATTATCCTCATGATATCAGAACCTCACAGTGAAAAAGTAAGAGTGTTAGAGAGAGAAGTAAAGAAGCAAAAGATAGAAGGGATGGGGGCCTAAATAAAGAGAGAAGGTAGATTGAGGACCCTTCCACACAGCCTTATATCCCAGAATATCAAGGCAGAAACCCACATTATCTGAGTGTGGACTCAGATAACCCAGTTCAATGCTGATATTGTGGGATTTTCTGCCTTGATATTCTGGGATATAGGGCTGTGTGGAAGGGCCCTGTGACTGTGAAGGAAGTTCCCAAGCCTATGCTGGAGCATTTAATTTTTCTCCAATATATGTAGGCAGATACAGAGTCCTAGAGTAGCATTTCAGGATTTATAATGTAAGTCACAGTGAGCAATGAAAAGCTTCTGTGGGATGAGTTGAGGACTCTGTTCAGCGGTAGAGCACAGGCTTTGCTTGCTGAAAGTCCCCAGTATCTCCAGTTTGCAGGATGGGAGTGAGGGGAAACTTGGTTGCAAGTTATGGATAAGGTTATGGTTTATTTATTTATTTATTATTTACTGTATTTGTATACCGCCCCTCTCAGCCTTCCGGCGACTTAAGGCGGTTTACAAGGCCACCAAAAACACAATTACAATATAAAAGCATTTATATCAATACAATCATAACAACTATAATAAAACATAATTCAGTAAATACTCATTAAAACAATGTCCAGTCCCATCATGTACGAGTTGTTCCGTTCTCATGTCTATTACTCAGTTTTCGCAAATGCCTGCTCAAATAGCCATGTGTTGAGTTTTTTCCGAAATGCTAGAAGCGAAGAAGCCGATCTGATCTCCCTAGGAAGGGCGTTCCATAGCCGAGGGGCCACCACTGAGAAGGCCCTGTCTCTCGTCCCCGCCGGCCATGCTTGTGATGATGGCGGGACTGAGAGCAGGGCCTCTCCAGACGATCTTAAAGTCCTTGAAGGTTCATAAGGGGAGATAGAATCATAGAATCATAGAGTTAGAAGAGACCTCATGGACCATCCAGTCCAACCCCCTGCCAAGAAGCAATCAAATATTGCATTCAAAGCACCCCTGACAGATGGCCATCCAGCCCCTGTTTAAAAGCCTCCAAAGAGGGAGCCTCCATCATACTCTGGGGCAGAGAGTTCCACTGCTGAACAGCTCGCACAGTCAGGAAGTTCTTCCTAATGTTCAGATGGAATCTCCTTTCTTGTAGTTTGATATGCGTTCGGACAGGTAAGTTCGGACACATGTGAGACCAGACAGACATTAATAGTAGGTTGCTGTTTCTGACCTAAGATCTAGAACAGGATTAAGGGCTCAAAAATATGATGTATGTGTGCTGTGCTGCTTCAAGAAGCCTATGTATGCATTTTTGCTTTGAATATTGTTCCACTAATTGGCTTATTTGTCGTAAGAGTGACAATCCTTTGAGCCGGGCAGATTTCTGTGTGAGTCACCATGCTTGTGAAATGCATGCAAAATATGAACACTGGAACAGAACTTGTTGTTCTGATGATCTGGCTAGATATCTCGTCTTCATTTTTGTGGAGACTGAGTTGAGAAAGTTCATGTGACATTTTGTGAAGATTCAGCGACCAAACTATGAGTTACATCCCTTGGGCTAATGTGAGTGACTGCTTTTTTAAAAAGAAACAAACAACCATATCAGAGAATGTGTGGTTGGGAGCTCGATCAAAATTGGAAATGCAAGGAGTGGATTTAATATTTCCTCTCATATTGTTGTTACCATTTTGTGCCTTCAAGTCGTTTTTGACTAATGATGACTTTTTTTTTGTCGTGTCAGGAGTGACTTGAGAAACTGCAAGTCGCTTCTGGTGTGAGAGAATTGGCCGTCTGTAAGGACGTTGCCCAGGGGACTCCTGAATGATTTGATGTTTTTACCATCCTTGTGGGAGGCTTCTCTCATGTCCCCGCATGAGGAGCTGGAGCTTATAGAGGGAGCTCATCCGCCTCTCCCCGGATTCGAACCTGCGACCTGCCGGTCTTCAGTCCTGCCGGCACAGGGGTTTAACCCATTGCGCCACCAGGGGCTCAATGATGACCTTATCACAGGGCTTTCTTGCAAGATATGCTCAGAGATGGTTTGCCTTTGCCTTCCTTTGAGGCTGAGACGGTGTGACTTACCCACTCCCCACTCATCTCTGTTGTGATTTGTCCAATCTGTTTGTATTTTTGTCAACGCATATTTATTTATTTATTTATTTCGGGTATTTGTGCCTCGCCCTTCTCAACCCCCTGGGGGGGACGGACTCAGGACAGCTTACAGCCGACACATATTCGATGCCTACAATTAAGCACAATGAAATACATATCAACATCAGTCGTTATCTATATATATATAAATGCTCTGTGCATAATGAGTACCTTAAAAACAAAAGAACCAACAAATGAAATCACACCAAATTTGTCAACAAAACGTCTCACGACACAAGGAGTGACCATCACTCAAAAAAGTATGATTTTGTCACATGGGAGTTGTAGTTGCTGGGATTTATAGTTTACTTACAATAAAAGAGCATTCTGAACTCCACCAATGATGGAATTGAACCAAACTTGGCACACAGAACTCCCATGACCAACAGACAACACTAGAAGGGTTTGGTGAGCATTGACCTTGAGTTTGGGAGTTGTCGTTCACCTACATCCAGAGAGCACTGTGGACTCAAACAATGATGGATCTGGACCAAACTTGGCACAAGCACTCAATACACCCAAAAATGAACACAGATGGAGTTTGGGGAAAATAGACCTTGACATTTGGGAGTTGTAGTCACTGGGATTCACAGTTCACCTACAATCAAAGAGCATTCAGAACCCCACGAACAACAGAATCGGGCCAAATTTCCCACACAGAACCCCCATGACCAACAGAAAATACTTAAGGCCATCCAATCCAACTCCCTTCATCAGGGCAAGAAAACGTAATCAAAGTCCTCCTGACAAAGAGCCATCCAGCCATAGATAGATAGACAGACAGACAGACAGACAGACAGACATAGACAGATAGACAGACAGACAGACATTATTCACATACACACAGATATAATATCATAAATTTGAAAGGGGCCCCTAAAGAAGGACACTTATATGTTGCATGTTCCAGAGTAGGCAAACCAGACAATCTCCACATCAACACTGACAAAGAAAAAACAAAAATACTCTTTACCCACAAGCATAAAGGAATTACATTTATTAGGAACCATTACTTTATTTTCCAGATCACCAGACTGGGCCACAGCAACGCGTGGCAGGAGATGGCTAGTAAATAATTAAAACCTTAAGTTAATATAATAAAATCCACTAGGAAAGAAAGCCAGTCTAGTGGGCGTTGTCTCGCCGAGTTCTATATTTGGAGACTCTATTCTGCTTCTCCATATTCCATTTCCATAGCTATTGTTGACATTGTCCTCGTCAAGTCTGCAAGATTACCCAAAGGCCGGGTCCCACATCCACGTTTTTAATTTCTTTCTAAAGGAGAGGAGGGATGAAGATGACCTAATTTCCCCAGGGAGAGAATTCCACAGGCGGGGGGCCGCCACCGAGAAGGATATGGTTACGCCAATATGCTATACTCCCAATACTATTTAGATCTCTCACACAGTTGCTATTTAATGTTAATCCAGATAACAAAAAACACAGTGCCAAAATAGTCATTTGAAATACTATACAGTTTTGCCCTCAGGAATAAGGTGGAAGTGGGAAGAGGAAATCAAGTCCAGATGGTATAGTTGTAGCTTTTCCATTAACTTGCGAAATTTACTTTTTTTGGTTTATGACTTCTCAAACAAAAGGCCTCTGATTGTACAGAAAAATAACTTTTCAAAGCTCTGCAATATATCTAAGGCAGGATTACTTTTAATATATGTGTGTTATGGCGACAATTTTTATGCTTATATTTTGTTTTGTTAATCTTAGGGTTATGTTGTTTTTTTGTTGGTTTTTTTGGTATGTTTTGTGATGTTACCTGGGAACTGCTCTGAGTCCCCTTGGGGAGATGGAGATACAAATAAAGTTTATTATTATTATTATTATTATTATTAATTTCTGTGTCTTCTTGCCACCTAATCATTCCCTGCCTGAGATCCAGATTGTCTCTGTCAACTTGCATGTTTATTTGATTTGATTGATTGATTGATTGATTGCATTTGGATGCCACCATTCTCCCAGAGGGGAGAATGGTGGCAGTTTCCCTGTTGACTTTCCCAAGGAAGCTTCCATGTTGACTTTCATAATGATGGATAACTGTGGTGGGTGTTGTGGTGAACGAGTTTGTAGCTGGAACAGCATTTAGCTTAGGATAAAATGTCTTATTTTGGATGCTGATTTGATTTTTTAATTTCTTTACTTCTGGTATATCTGTTTTGCGAGGCCATAATGTGAGCTGTTAGTCAATCATTTTAATGTTATTATGCTGATAATATATGTTATTATGCTGATATGTTTTGCCTAGTTATATGACAGTTTACGTTTTGAGTTGTGGTTGTTTTTAAATTACTTGGAAAGGTTGTTATTTCTCATTTAATTCTATGTTGTTGCTATAAGCTATTTTGAGAGTGATTTTTGCCATAGAAAAGTAGCAGAAAAATATATAGAAATCTGGGTCCTGGATTGAATGTGCTATCGTGCTATCTCTGTGCTATCTTGCACGGAAATTGGTGCAGATTGAGGAATTCCATAGATTCCATATTTTTAGTAATACGATGAAACAGAGTGGCAACAATTATGGAGACAGAGACATCTAAAAAATTTATCAATACGGGTTAAAGAAAATTATTATAAGTTAATATGGAAATGGTACCTAACACCAGTAAGAATAGCAAATATAAATAAAAACTATTCAAAAAATTGCTGGAGAGGATGTCAAGAATCAGGAACATATATACATATGTGGTGGCAATGTAAATATGTAAATAACTTTTGGGGGAAAGTATTTAGAGAAATAGAGGATATAATGAACATTAAAATAGAAAGAAGTCCTAGTGTGCTGGTACGGCTGTACCAGGAACTCCAACTTCTTTTCCTTTCTATTGAGTGTTTGCATGTATTCCAAAGTGCCATGCATTTTGCAATAAGGTGGCTTCCCTTGGTTTGCAATAATAGGGCCAATGACCCATCAATTATCATTGTGTTCTTTAGTTCTGCCCCTTTTTCTGGGTTAAGGAGGGAAAAAGGGGACCTCTAGTTCAGTTCACACAGAGAAGCCTTTCGTACAGGACGTGAATCAGTTCCACCTGTAGAAAGCTTCATCTTTTACAGCTTTGCTGGGGGGGGGGGATCCAGTCCCACAGCTGTACAGATAACTACAGCATAGCCTTTGTTGGGGAATTTAGTTCCACAACTCTAAAACCAGCTCTTTGCTGGAGAAATACAGCTCCACGGTTTTACAGCCAGCCTTCGCTGGGAATTGAAAGCCTTCTTTCCTCTTGGAAATCTACTAAAGGAGTCTGTTTGGTAAGGACCACTCACGGCAGCCATAACGCAATTTGGACCGGGTGTAGGGGCCCATGCCGGCAGAGCTTAAGTTAGATTGCCCAGGCAGGAGTCAAGGATTTCCCTTGTAGAAGGAAGAAACAGTTTATGAAGAAAGTTGCCTGTCCCTTGTGGACAAGATTTAAACAAGCCACCAGTTGATTCAAAGCCTTGAAATATTTGTTTGATTTATTGAAGATTTAAGCAACAATAAAAGCTTTGTTGAACTTTCTAAGTCTTTAAAAGAACTTTGTGTGGGGAGATCCGAAAGGCCTCTCAGCCGAGGCACCCCCAGCATCCTGTTGGGCATTCAGAAAACATGTCCTGTCTACGGACTCTTTCACAGGCCCAGCGCGTGACCGTACACCTAGTATAGCTTTGTTATCGTATCTTTATCCTTTTTTTCAATGGTTTATTATCATTATATAATAATAAACAAGTGAAAAAAAGGATAAAGATACGATAACAAATTTATTAACAATAGCAAGACTGCTTATAGCAAGGAACTGGAAAAGAGAAATAAATATACAAATAGAGGAGTGGTACAAGGAAGTATGGAAATTGACAATGAATGATAAGCTGACATGTATATTAAAAGTTACAAGAGGTATATGGAAACAAAAGTGATTTTGATGATGTATGGAGAAAATTTATTGAAAAAGGATTAAAAAATAAAGAAGGAAAGTTACCTCCACAAGAAGAATTGAAATTTTGGACAGATTATATGTAAAAGCCGTGGCTTGGGAGAGGGGGAGCACAGTGGTGAAGGATAGATAATATGTATAAGCAGAAAAATAACAGTAGATGCCAAAAGTTACAGTATGGTAGGTTGTATTGAATAATATGTATCTGCTGTAAAAGAACAATATATAACAAATGTATTGAACCATGATAAAATAATAAAAAAATATTTAAAATAGTAATAAGATGATGATGGGAATAGTTTTCTAAAAAGGAAAATATCCAACGTCCCCAATTCTTTTTGTGCCTCCCTCTTTTCAGGGTCCAGCCATAAAGCAATTTATGGACATCTTTTCTCTGTCTGAAATGACCCTCCTGGCCGTAGCCAATGACTTCTTCATCAGCAACGACATTGATTATGATCCAATCCATCTCTACAAAGATGTGACGGTATGTTAGTGTGTGTATATGCACACACATTCTTTCTCTTCTATGTTGTGAGCTGATTTGAGGACATGTGTGGGTTGGCTGACATTACAAACGGAGGAATTTCTTCTTTCCAGTTTTGGGAGGTGCTTATTAGAACTCCTGGTTCCTTCCCAGCGGTGGTTCCTTTGTGGGGCACTCTATGTTCTTTGTGTTGTTTATCCTGAACTGGCAAACTGAGCCAGTTTCTGAAAGTCTTGTGCGATGCCTATCCTCTCCTCCCTCCCGTGTTTGAACTCTGCTGTGGGTGTGTGTGACGTACAATAGCAAGCAGCGAAGGCGACATCAGAACAAGCTGTTCTGAGCTGGGGAGGGTTTGGGAAGAGCTGCCAGGGAAGCTTATCTAGGAGCCCAGCTGCTTCAGCGCACACATTGAGTGGAAGGGTTCCCCCTTTCTCTCCCTCTGCCTGTGTTTGGAGCTGCAAGGTTCCCTTGTTTGCTGCAGATATGGAAACTTGAAAAACCTCTCTGTTGCCTCTTGGGTTCATGGACTGTCCCCAGTCTGAGCTTGGGGCAAGAGGTTGGAATTGGCATCCTCATAAATAGCATGGCTCGTTTGCACGCACACAGCCTCCGTTTTTGGCTCTCCCACCCATTAGACCCCACCTCTGTGACTGGAGCAGGGCGAAGGACACCCTGTGAAGGTTACTCATAGAAATCAACACCTCCCTTGTACAATAATGACCCTCATTCTCTCCAAACTCATCTGTTTGTTGCTGCTTCCACCTAACATGGCCATGTAGTGGCTGGTGGGAAAAGAGGTGCAGGCAGCCCATAACTAGAAGCATGATAATGAAGGCCTTTCCAGGGATCCTTGGACTTACTATATTTCTGAATATCGACACATTCTTCCTGGGTGCTCCCTGCTTTCTTTTCTTTTTAATTTTTTTTCTTTATTGTATTGTTAACAACCATTTGCAATACATTTATCTTTACGTTGCTTTAGTTTCAATACATTTTTTCTTTCCACCCCTTAACCCTCCCTCCTCCCCCGTTGACAAGTTGGTCCTTCTTCCTTTATTCGAGCCATCGTTGCATTCTATCTAGTTTTTTCTCTCTCCAATGATCGTCTTCTGGTTTAGCTTCTTGTATCCAATTTTTAAAGGGTGACCATATTTCTTTGATTTCCTTCTGCTTTTCTGTCCATAGTTTTTCATTTCTTGTAATGTCCATAATTTCCAATTGTACTTCTTCCCACACATATTCATACCATTTTCCCAGGGTCCATTTCTTTTTTTTTTCTTTCCACCCCCAGGCAATCACAGTATGTGCTGCTCTAAACATCATCATAACTAATTTTTGTTCATGTGCCTTTATTTTACTTTCCCCACAAATCCCTTTTAAGAGAATCTCCATATTTAAATCATTTTTTATTTTTGTATATAATTCAATTTTTATGAAGATTTGATTCCAGAACTTTTGTGTCTCCTTACATTTCCACCATAGATGTGAGTACCAGGCTTCTCTACTCCCACAGTGCCAACATTTCGGATTTAGACCCTGGATCATATGAGCCAATTGAATCGGTGTTCTATACCATTTTGTTATTACTTTCTGCTCCAGATCCCTATATTTTTCTATCTTTATTTTATTTAATCCATTCTTTATTCTATCTATTTTTTCTTTCCCTATGCCTCCTTCCTTTTCCCATCTATTTTCCATCCTTTTATACATAAATTCCCTGTCTTCTAATATTCTTCCATATATTTTACCTAAGCCTTTTTGCTTTTCACTGGATCTTTCTTTCAATATTCTATCTATTGTATTTTCGCCCATATTACTTTGTTCCTTTTTTATTTGTTCCCAAATGCCTCTTAATATTAATATTAATATTATTTATTTATTTATTTATTTATTTATTTACTGCGCTTATATACCGCAATTCTCAGCCCTTTAAGGGCGACTCATTGCGGTGTACAACATGAAAAAACAAGTGCAAATTACAAAACATAGTGCAAAATAATCCACATCATTATCAGAAAAACATCTTATCAAAACATCAACATTACTACAAAATTTCTACTACATTCCGAATCGTCTCATCGTCAACCCACAATCCAATATCATTTCCGTTGTTCCATTCCTATGGTCAAATTACCAGTCATTGCACTTCTTGGTCAAATGCCTTCTTAAATAGCCAGGTCTTTAACTTCCTGCGGAATATCAACAGGGAGGGGGCTAGCCTGATGTCCACGGGAAGGGTGTTCCACAGCTGAGGAGCCACCACCGAGAAGGCCCTATCTCTCGTCCCCACCAGCCGTGCCTGTGACACAGGCGGGATCGAGAGCAGGGCCTCCCCAGAAGATCTCAAAGTCCTCGTGGGCTCATATTAGTCTAAATCTTTCTTCCCCTAAATTTTCTAGCTGACTCCATTCCATTAATACATCTTTTTCATTATATAAATCCTTTATTTTATAATATCCCAACTGTTTCAATTTCTTTATAACGCTCTTATCCTCTTTGTTCCTCAAACTCCCTATTGGGGCTTCCTTTGAGAAAAATTGCATCCATTTTTTCTTCCATTTCTCACATATGTTTAAAGCTATTTTCCTAGGACCTATTGTTTTCCCTATCACCTCTTTTAGTTTTTGTGTGAAGATTCCATATTGACCTTTGTTTACTTCATTTTCTATTCTTATCCATTTCACTTGATTTTCTTCTTCTAGTTCCAAAATTGCCTTCAATTGAAATGCTTCATAATATTCTTGTAATTTTGGTATCCCCCATCCTATTTCTTTGTTTGACCTATATAATTCCTTATTACGTATTCTTGGTCTCTTCCCCCCAAATATCCACTTTCTAATTTCTCCATCCCATTTTTGAAATGTTTGCTGCGAGATATCTAAAGGCAGTGTTTGAAACAAATACAAAATTTTGGGGAGTATACACATTTTAATTGCCCCAATTCTCTTCGATATATTAAAAAAATTCCTTCCATTTTTTCATTTGTTTTTGTATCTTCCCCCATATTTTCTTATAAGTCCCAAAGCCTCTCTGACCTATTAGTTAGGAAAATACCCAAATATTTTCTTTTCTTTTTTGCTATTTGAATATCTTCTCTTCTCTGAATATCCTCTAGTAATCTTTTTCCCAAATTGAACCCTAGCAATTCTGATTTTGTTATATTAATCTTTAGTCCTGAAAATTTGTAAAAGTCTGCTAATATTATTTCCAATTCTTTTAATGATTCTAATGGGTTTTCTGTAATTATCAATAAATCATCGGCATCTACTTGTCACTAGCCATGGCATGGATGTGTAGGGAGCACAGGCAGGTGAGCTGAAAGTAAGGAGAGAGGGGAGATTGAATCATAGAGTTGGAAGAGACTCCCAAGGGCCATCCAGTCCAATTTGATATTTACTTCTCAACCTCCCCCAGGGGAGGGGGACGAATCAGGGCGGCTGCCAACTACCCAAAGTCCTGGTCCCATAACCACATTTTCAATTTCCTCCTGAAGGCGAGGAGAGATGTTGTTGACCTGATTTCGCTGGGGAGTGAGTTCCACAGGCAGGGGGCCACCATCGGGAAGGCCCTGTCCCTCGTCCCCGCCAAGCGTGTTTGCGCCAAAGGTGGGACCGAGAGCAGGGCCTCCCCAGAAGATGTTAAATTTTGAGGTGAAACGTAGAGGGAGATACGTTCGGAGGAATACACAATCAGAGCACTCCTGACAGATGGCCATCCAGCTTCTGTTTAAAAATCTCCAAAGAAGGGGACTCCACCACACACTGAACATTGATAGGTTGCTGTTTAACTTGAGATTCGGTATTCATTGTCTGGGGAGAATGGGAGTGTGATTTGGGTAATCTGAAGCTCAGAGCTTGAAGAAGGTCCTTGGAATTGTTTGGGGATTCTGGAAGTGATAGTCTCAGGCGAGGCTTCTTAAACTTTCCCCACTTGCATCCCCTTTCTGCCCGATAAAGTTTTACATGATCCCGGGTATACAGGCATATAAAATAGGTATAAAATCAAACATATACTGATAACAAAGTAGCCTTTGCAAGGCATGCTAAAGAAGCTAATTTTCTTTTCTGTGGAATATAGCTGAAGCATTTTCTTCTGAGTCCACTGTAAACACTGCGTATTATTGCAGTGTATATGAGTTACATTCAGAAATGTTTTATTGTTGCTAGATTTTTTTTGGACCCCAACACTGAGTTAAGGGTTAAGGACCTACAGCTGTTGTGTCGGACTGGATGAGAGCTAACAAATTGAAATTGAATCCAGACAAGACAGAGGTACTACTGGTCAGTCGTAAGGCCGAACAGGGTATAGGGTTACAGCCTGTGCTGGATGGGGTTACACTCCCCCTGAAGACGCAGGTTCGCAGCTTGGGAGTGTTCCTGGACTCATCGCTGAGCCTGGAACCCCAGGTCTCAGCGGTGGCCGGGAGAGCTTTTGCGCAATTAAAACTTGTGCACCAGTTGCGCCCGTACCTTGGGAAGTCTGATCTGGCCACTGTGGTCCACGCTCTTGTTACATCCCGAATAGACTACTGCAACGCGCTCTACGTGGGGTTGCCCTTGAAGACTGTTTGGAATTTTCTACTAGTCCAGCGAGCGGCAGCCAGACTGCTCACCGGAGCGACATATAGGGAGCATACCACCCCCCTGCTGTGCCAGTTCCACTGCCTGCCGATTCAGTTCCGAGCACAATTCAAGGTGCTGGTTTTGACCTACAAAACCCTGTACGGTTCCGGTCCAGTGTATCTGTCTGAACGTATCTCCCTCTACGTCCCACCCCGGAGTCTGAGATCATCTGGGGAGGCCCTGCTCTCGACCCCACCACTGTCACAAGTGAGGCTGGTGGGGACGAGGAGCAGGGCTTTCTCAGTGGTGGCCCCTCACCTGTGGAACTCACTCCCGGGGGAAATCAGGGCATCATCATTCCTCCTCGCCTTTAGGAGGAGGGTGAAGACGTGGTTATGGGACCAGGCCTTTGGGCACTCTGGCAATTAAATTAGACAATCAGGCGAGTAAGACCAACAGGATTGATGAAGTAGAACGTATGAGTTAGCGAACGCTGACCATGTAAGAGGAGAAATTGGGTTTGTATTGGTTTTATTGATTTTATTGATTTTATGGTTATAATGCATGAATTCTTGTTAACTGTGAATTGATGTAATTTTGTGTATGATTGTTTTATGATGCAGGCATCGAATTGTGCCTTTGCCTTTGTAAGCCGCCCTGAGTCCCCTTCGGGGTGAGAAGGGCGGGGTAGAAGAACCCCAAATAAATAAATAAATAAATAGTTGTCTAAGGAAGACATTTTTCTAAGCTCTGGTGCTGCTGTTCAGCTGTTCGAAAAGGGGAGAAGGCATTCATAGCTAAATGATTGCCTCTCTTACATGTATGTTGGCAGGGATCCTCGGGGCAGTACTCCCCTGAACCAGTTTTGTTTCAGCCCCAGAATGAGTACAAAAAACACTGAAAGCAATCTTATGTCAACAATTGGGAAGTGGGAGAGAGAATATGTGTGTTACGCAATGCTGACAGCTAGGCAGCAAAAATAATCTATGTTTTTTTTGGTTTAAACAAATAAAAAACGGCCTTAAGGTTCCTCGGATCAGATTATGACCTTTGGAAGGTATTTCAAACAAGCAAGCAAAAAAATTCTTGGCCTTCGAAACCTATAGCAAACTATTATTTGAAGTGAAGACAAATGTAGAAGTGTGGAAAAATGTATTTATTTTCAAAGTCTTTTCAGTTTTAGTGCTTTTCATGTACTTTTTGTGCTTTCTCCCCTGTTGTTCTAGTATTATGTGTTGGTCCAGGATTTATTTTTATGCTTTATGAGTTCAGGTTTTATTTTAGGGAAGAGAGGAGAACGACAGTAGTGAAATATTTGAAATAAATAAATGGCAAATGGCATCTCAGGGGCGTCTGCGTGTTCATAAATAGGAAAGCAGTCTGGAAAAAGGCTTATTTCTGCCTTCTCTTTGTGCCTGCTTTTTTTTAAAGAGCTGGAATTATAATCTGATTATAGCTCGGTGCCATTTCTCATTTGCCGCTAGTGTATATTAAAGAAATTGAAGACAGAGGAAATGGGTTTGGGGAAAGAAGGAGGCAAAACATTATGAAATAGTGAGGCTTCTTAATCCATATATTTTGCGATGGGATCATAATAAGTGGGTTCAATATCAATATATCAATTATTTATTTATTTAAAACTTTTATATCCCGATCTTCTCACCTCCGTAGAGGGATTCAGACAGGCTTACAGCAAGGATTCAATGCTACTAATACAAGTTAAAACATCATACAACAATACAAGATTAAAATACATATAGATAAAATACATATATACCAAATTGCCAAGGTAAAAACATGTTCAACTCAGTCTGCATATGTGGTCACTCACTTTGTAACCAGTCTCGGCCATTATTCTGGGAATGCTTCATTCCATAACCAGGATTTCACTAGCCTCCTGAAGGACAAGAGGGAGGGGGCAGATCTAATCTTGCTTGGGAGAGAGTTCCATAGCCGAGGGGCCACCACAGAGAAGGCCCTGTTTCTCGTTCCCACCAAACACGCTTCCGAAGGTGGTGGGACCGAGAGCAGGTCCTCTCTGGAAGATCTTAACATCCTTGATGGTTCATAGGGGAGAATATATTCATTAGTCCAGAAGCTGTGTTTTGCAGAGATGCAAAACACGAGGGGTGCATTTTTTACTTTATTTATTAGTTACACCCTTGCCTCGGCCATGGCTTAGTCAGGAGTTGAACTTGTCTCTTCTTATAGTTTATCAGTGTAGCTACATTGAAAAATTACATTAGTTTTACATCACTTTGACTGGCATAGTTACATCCTATGGAATCCTGGGATTTGTAGTTTGTTGTAGCACCGAGGCCTACTAACAGAAGATCAAGTACAGTGTTTCTCAACCTTCCTAATGCCAAGACCCCTTAATACAGTTTCTCATGTTGTTGTGACCCCCAACCATAACATTATTTTCGTTGCTACTTCATAACTGTAATTTTGCTACTGCTGTCAATATCTGATATGCAGGATGTATTATCACTCACTGGACCAAATTTGGCACAAATATGCGATACACCCAAATTTGAATGCTGGTGGGCTTGGGAGGATTGATTTTGTCATTTCTGAGTTGTAGTTGCTGGGATTTATAGTTCACCAACAATCAAAGAGCATTCGGAACTCCACCAAGGATGGAATTGAACCAATTTTGGCACATAGAACTCGTATGATGAACTGAAAATACTGGAAGGGTTTGGTGGGCATTGACCTTGAGTTTTTGGAGTTGTAGTTCACCTACATCCAGAGAGCACTGTGGACTCAAACAATGATGGATCTGGACCAAACTTGGCATGAATACTCAATATGCCCAAATATGAACACTGGTGAAGTTTGGGGAAAATAGTCCTTGACATTTGGGAGTTGTAGTTGCTGGGATTTATAGTTCACCTACAATCAAAGAGAATTCTGAACCCCACCGATAGAATTGGGCCAAACTTGCCACACAGAACCCCTATGAACAACAGATAATACTGTTTTCTGATGGTCTTTGGCAACCCCTCTGACACCCCCTCGGGCCCCCCCCCAGGGGTCCCGACCCCCAGGTTGAGAAATGCTGATCAAGTATCTTTGAAAACTACAGATCCCAGAATTCCATAATGTTGAACCATGGCAGCAAATATTTTGCAAAAATGCTAATTCTTCTATTTGGATGCATCCTTTGTTTCATCCTACTGCCTGTTGAAAACCTCTCCGATAGCTTGTGGGAAAAGCATGGTAAATGGAGACTAGCAGAAGATTTGAAAGCTTGTATCTGTATTATTTTTTAAAAAAGGATGTTTAATGTCCCCAACAGGATGCCATCCGGGATGTTCACATCAAAGGTTTTATGTACAAGTGGATTATGCAAGATTTGGGTGAGTATCTGCCTGTCATCAAACTGGGGAGAACTAGATTGCTTGCAAAAGGTAGACTACAACTCCCAGAATTTCCCAACAGCATGGCCACTTCTCTAAAGTTTTTCCCTCTATTCCACCGTTTTTTTTTTTTTTTGGTCGTGTCAGGAGTGACTCCTGGTGTGAGAGAATTGGCCGTCTGCAAGGACGTTGCCCAGGGGATGCCCGGATGATTTGATGTTTTTATCATCCTTGTGGGAGGCTTTTCTCATGTCCCCGCATGAGGAGCTGGAGCTGATAGAGGGAGCTCAGCCGCATCTCCCCGGATTCGAAACTGCGACCTGCTGGTCTTCAGTCCTGCCGGCACAAGGGTTTAACCCACTGCGCCAAACCTTGTTGACCAGGGAGACAGAAATGAAATGCAAAAATACCCAAGACTGTTATTGCACATGGAGCAAATTAGTATATCCTCTCCCTCAGTTTGGCTAAAATCCAGCTTTGCAAGTAATTGGAGAAGCCAAGATATAAAAGCCACAGGAATCTCCTCCTGTAGCTTCTCTTGTTTCTGTTGAGTGAGATGGTATTGATGGCATACTTTCAGGTACGTCTTAACCCAGACATAGTGCTAGAAGCTTGCTGTACAGGCAGTCCCTGAGTTATGCACGTCCAACTTACAAACAACTCATAGTTACAAACATGGGTGAGACAACAGGAAGTGAGAGAAATTTAGCTCCTGGAAGTGAAATTCACTCCTGGAAGAAAGTGGAAAGGTGTCTCCACTGAAGTTTATCACCAATTCTTATTTCCCAAAAAAGCCATTTTTTTTTCCAAAATCCAATTCTCACAGGGACAGAAAGTGAGGTGAAATCTTCTGAACAGGGGCACAGAAAGAAAAACAAACACCATAGGGGTGTTAATCCTTCCCTGTACTATCCAAAGCTAAAAATATATGTTTTTGGCTGGAGTTACACTCAAAAAATGTACCTGTTCCAACTTACAAACAAATTAAGAACAAACCTACAGAACCTATCTTGGTGTTTGTTTTGCTTTCTGTGCCCTGTTCAGATTTCACCTCACTTTCTGTCCCTGTGACAATTGGATTTTGAAAAAAAATGGCTTTTTTGAGAAAAAAGAATTGGTGATAAAGCTTCAGTGGAGACACCTTTCCCCCATGATAATTCTCCCAGGAGTGAATTTCACTTCCAGGAGCTAAATTTCTCTCACTTCCTGTTGTCTCACCCATGTTTGTAACTATGAGTTGTTTGTAAGTTGGGGACTGCCTGTATGTGTGTGTATGTATATACATACACACACACATACATATATGTATGTATGTATACATACACACATACATATGTGTGGGAGCCCCCGGTGGCACAGTGGGTTAAAGCACTGAGCTGCTGAACTTGTTGACCGAAAGGTTACAGGTTTGATTCTGAAAGGTTACAGGTTTGATTCTGTAGGGAGCAGCATGAGCTTCCGCTGTCAGCCCTAGCTTCTGCCAACCTAGCAGTTCGAAAACATGCAAATGTGAGTAGATAAATAGGTACAGCTCCAGCGGGAAGGTAACGGTGCTCCACGCAGTCATGCCGGCCACATGACCTTGGAGGTGTCTATGGACAACACCAGCTCTTCGGCTTAGAAATGGAAATGAGCACCACACCCCAGAGTCAGACATAATTGGACTTAATGTCGGGGACAACCTTTACCTTTTTATGTATATGTGTGTATATTCAAAAATATTTTTAATAAAACAGGAAAGTAAATTCTCAGTTCAGTGTTGTATGCCGTTTTGTGGAATAAGTGTTTGCACAACCCAACCGAAATCTGAAAACAGATGTGAGAATTAATATACTATTAATTAACAGTGTAAGCCCCATCTTTCCTCAGGTAAGCCCAGGGCAAACATGCACACTCTTTCTGCCCTCCTTATAACCAGAACAATAATCCTATGATGACTATCTGGCCCAAGGCTCACAACTTAGTGCAGGCTTCAACCTGGATCTTCTAAGAATCCAGACTGTATAGATTACACTGGCAATCTGGCTCTTCCCAATAATCCTCCAAATATTCCAGCACATCTGCTAAGCTTGTTCATTTTGGCCTCAGAATGATTAGGGAATTCCCAAATCAGACTGAGGCAGAATGTAATGGAGGAGATGAGTTTAGAAACTGAGCTGCAAAATATCTTCATTCCTGGTCATTCCACAGATACATAAGCCCAATTTTCCTAGTTCCAACAGACCTCATTACTTCTGAGGATGGTTGCCATAGATGCAGGTGAAACATCAGGAGAGAATGCCTCTAGAACAGCGTTTCTCAACCTTCCTAATGCCATGACCCCTTAATACATTTCCTCATGTTGTGGTGAACCCCAACCATAACATTATTTTGCTACTTCATAACTGTAATTTTGCTCCTGTTATTAATTGTAATGCAATTATCTGATAAGCAGGATGTATTTCCATTCACTGGACCAAATTTGGAACAAATACCCGATATGCCCAAATTTGAATAGTGGTGGGTGGTGGGGGGGGGATTGATTTTGTCATTTGGGAGTTGTAGTTGCTGGGATTTATAGTTCACCTACAATCAAAGAGCATTCTGAACTCCAGCAATGATGTAATTGTACCAAACTTGGCACACAGAACTCACATGACCAACAGAAAATACTGGAAGGGTTTGGTGGGCATTGAGCTTGAGTTTGGGAGTTGTAGTTCACCTACATCCAGAGAGCACTGTGGACTCAAACAATGATGTATCTGGACCAAACTTGACATGAATACTCAATATGCCCAAATGTGAACACTGGTGGAGTTTGGGGAAAATAGACCTTGACATTTGTGAGTTGTAGTTGCTGGGATTTATAGTTCACCTACACTCAAAGAGCATTCTGAACCCCACCAACAATTAAATTGGACCAAAATTCCCACACAGAACCCCCATGACCAACAGAAAATACTATGTTTTCTGATGGTCTTTGGCGACCCCTCTGACACTCCCTGGCGACCCCTGCAGGGGTCCCGACCCCCAGGTTGAGAACCACTGCTCTAGAACATGGCCATATAGCCTGAAAAAACCTACAACAACCCAGTGATTCTGGCCATGAAAGCCTTCGAAAATACATCTTCATTTTTTTGTCTTGTTCATCTTTCAAAATATAATTTTTTTAAAGTTTTTTTAAAAACCAGAAGTCGTATAAAATAAAACGGTGCAATAAACAATTTCTTTTATGCTCACAAAAATACAGACACCATACCCAGAACAACAAAAATGCTAGCTGTGAGCAACCAACTCCTGTGTCTTCTTTTTTGCTGTCTTTTGTTGTGATTTGTAATTTCAGCACTTCTGGCATATTCAGAGACACTTGTAATGCCTCCTCCCTTTCTTTTGCAGAGAAGTACATTCTGCGTGGGGATGAGACCTATGCTGTGCTGCACCGCCTGGCCAAAAGTGGCAAGAAGCTCTTCCTCATCACCAACAGCCCTTTCAGCTTTGTGTAAGTCTGACATGGCTGGGTTGCAAGTTAGAAAGAGGCAGGGCATCCTGACTCCCAATTCTGGACTTTTGCTGGACTTCCGGGATCGAAATGACTGCTCAGATAATCTGGTGCGCCACAAATTAGAGCATTGTGGATACTAGTCTGCTGGATTCCCAGGGGCTTCTGTGGCAAATGTCAAAATTGATTATTAGAGGCTTGCTTTTGAAAATAAAAGCTAACCAACAATGTTCTCTAACGGTTGGAATTTTATATCACATCAGCTGTCCTTACCTTAAAGTTATTATAAGACTAGCAGTCCCCTGCCACGTGTTGCTGTGGCCCAATCTGTGTAAATGTGTTTTGTGTGTGTATATATATGTGTGTTTGTGTATATATGTGTAGTTTTGTGCATGCGTTGCAATGTATTTTTAGTTTTTTTGGCTTTTAAAGTCTATTATGTTATGTTTTTCAGTGTTTTTATGAGTGATGGTCTCTTGTTGGCCTGATAGGTGTATTGTGTCCAAATTTGGTGTCAATTCGTCCAGTGGTTTTTTTTTTAGTTATGTTAATTCCACAAATGAACATTACATTTTTATTTATATAGTTCAGGGGTCCTCAAACGTTTTAAACAGAGGGCCAGATCACAGTCCCTCAAACTGTTGGAGGGCCGGATTATAATTGGAAAAAAACATGAATGAATTCCTATGCACACTGCACGTATCTTATTTGTAGCGCAAAACACTTAAAACAATACAATAATTAAAATTAAGAACAATTTTAACACATATAAATTTATTAATATTTCAATGGGAAGTGTGGGCCTGCTTTTGGCTGATGAGATAGGATTGTTTATTTATTTATTTACAGTATTTATATTCTGCCCTTCTCACCCCACAGGGGACTCGGGGTGGATTACGATGTACACATATATGGCAAACATTCAATGCCAAAGACATACAACAGATATAGACAGACAGTCAGAGGCTATCTAACTTTTCTGGCCGCCAGGGGAGCTGTCGATTTCAGCTTTCATTGTCCATCTGTGACCCTGATGAAGTACTTTGCATTCCCCGCATGCTTTTGCTGGAGTGCTTTGCTGGAGTCTTTTTTTTTATGGCCTCGTAAATTAGTTAAATTAGCCTCCCCGCACATAGGTGGTACCTAATTTCCCTACTTGACAGATGAAACTGTCTTTCGGGTTGCAAAGGTCGACAACAAGCTACACAATTGGATGGAAGCTCACTCCGACCCGGGCTGGCTTTGAACTCATGACCTTTTGGTCCGAAGTGATCTCAAAGCAGCTGACACTCAGACAGCTGCGCCACAGTCCCGGGGCAGCTGTCTCATACGTATTCCTCCAAACCCACACATTGTCCAGCTCTGTCACTTCAACCCACCTCCCTGGATGGATTGCTGTTGTTTTTTTGTGTGCTTTCAAGTCATTACATTAGGTTGACCTTGACCGGGGGGCTGGGTAAATGACCTTGAAGGGCTGCATTTGTCCCCCGGGCCTCAGTTTGAGGACCCCTGATATAGATTCTGCTTTTTAGTTACAGTAGACCTAACAAGGCTAGCTGTCTTTTTTTGGAGTGTGGAAGTATCATAATAGTCTCTGGTCTCTCCAGTGGTTCATATTCTGTAATATAATTAAAGAAGTGAAGCATCAGTTTTGAGTCAAAGTAACTCCATAACTCTGTAGGTTGCCCAGACTGATAACAACCAATGGAGCAGTTATCATAATGGTTGAAGAGATCAATGCTGCTTCACTATTTATGCTCAGCTATGTGCTTAGTTGCAATGAGTTCTGTTGTATTCTGCTATATGGTATGCTTTTTATATGGTAAAAAGCTTCTGAACCAAGTTTTTTTTGTGGCACACAGTGCCCTCTACTGATGGCTATCCGTAATCCTTTTCTTTTCCTCCCAGGGATAAAGGGATGCGGTACATGGTGGGTAAAGACTGGCGGGACTTCTTTGACGTCGTCATCGTCCAAGCGGACAAGCCTCATTTCTTCAATGATTGTGTCAAGTGAGTGTGGTCCCAACATGAAACTCCCAGTTCTGGATCTTGCTTTTGGTGGGACTTGGGGAAAACGTGGAAGCAATGCTTTGTGGGTAATTTTCACACTCCTGAGATTGGGCACAAGGGCTCAAAGATTACTTACTTACTTACTTAGGCGATCCCTCATAGTCCAAGAATGATGGTACTCCAAGTGTAGTGTCCTGGCGGTGGGTCCGTAGGTGACTGTGGAGCCCTATTCTTGATCTGCATCTTCTCCCACAGTGAGGGCATCGGTTTCCAGGTGGAAGGCGGTCTCGGTCGGTGTTGGCTTGATACACCTTCCTCTTGGCACGCTTCTCTCTTTTGCCCTCCATTCGTGCCTCTTCAAATTCTACAGCACTTTCGGTCACAGCTGACTTCCAACTGGAGCGCTTCAGGGCCAGGGCCTCCCAGTTCTCAGTGTCTATGCCAGAGTTTTTAAGGTTGGCTTTGAGCCCATCGTTAAATCGCTTTTCCTGTCCTCCAACATTCCGTTTTCTGTTCTTGAGCTCAGAGTAGAGCAACTGCTTTGGGAGACGGTGGTTGGGCATCCAGACAACGTGGCTGGTCCAGTGGAGTTGATGGCAGAGGACCATTGCTTCAATGCTGGTGGTCTTTGCTTCTTCCAGCACGCTGACATTTGTCTGCTTGTCTTCCCAAGACATTTGCAGGATTTTTCGGAGGCAGCGCTGATGGAATCGTTCCAGGAGTTGCATGTGATGTCTGTAGACAGTCCACGTCTTGCAGGCATAGAGCAGGGTTGGGAGGACAATAGCTTTGTAAACAAGCACCTTGGTATCCCTACGGAGGTCCCGGTCCTCAAACACTCTCTGCTTCATTCGGAAAAAAGCTACACTCGCAGAGCTCAGGCGGTGTTTTATTTCGGTGTCAATGTTGACTTTTGTGACAAGGTGACTGCCAAGACATGCTTCAAAGACATGCTGGTGGCATCTATGTCAGTGGGACGATAGCTCTGTTCTGGGTTGCAGCCTGAACTTGAAGGGAACTGACCATGATACGGAACTCTATTTTTCCCATAGTCTTAGCACTTTGGACAACTTTTTAATATTTCAAATTGGAATCTACACTACGCCTTTGAAATAGAAGTCAGTGGTTGTTGTTGCATGGACTACACCTTCTTTCCTTAACTTATGTTCACAGGGGAACGACCAATCTGCACTGGGTGTAATTAGCATGTAATTTTTAAAGGGTTGAGTTCACTATATGTGTGTAGTTAAGGCTTTAATGCAAAGCAGAACCAGAAGGGAAACTGCAGATTGTAAATACTTTAGTCTAGAGGAAACTTTGTAAACAGAGGTCCAGGTCACAGTCCCTCAAACTGTTGGAGGGCCGGATTATAATTTGAAAAAAAACATGAATGAATTCTTGTGAACACTGCACATATCTTATTTGTAATGCAAAAAACACCTTAAAACAATACAATAATTAAAATGAAGAACAATTTTAACAAATATAAACTTATTAGTATTTAAATGGGAAGTGTGGGCCTGATTTTGGCTGATGAGATAGGATTGTTGTTGTTATTGTTGTGTGCTTTCAAGTCACTTCAGACTTAGGTTGGCCTTGAGTAAGGGCTAGGTAAATGACCTTGGGGGGGCGTATCCGACCCCCGGGCCTTAGTTTGAGAACCCCTGGTCTAGAGAACAATCTGAGTCTTAAAATGCAGGATCTAACATTTGACATCGTCTTTTGGCACACCACTTTTAAGAGACCTCGATACTGGCAGTTGATCTTTTCCTTAACATGCTCGGTGTTTCTTTGCTCATTCTTGGATCACATTCATTAAAAATTCTGTTGTCTGCTGGACTAGTTTGTCCCCCAGTTCTTAAGATGGTTTCCTTGCATTTCTTATATGTGTGTGACATGAAATGGCCGGAGGCATAGGAAACTTGAACTGACGTGTAATAATTTTTCACTTAAAGGAAGAAGGGGTGCTCTCTAAATAATGCCTGACCTCTGCATATTCTATTTTCACTTCCCATCTCTCTTCCTTCCTCCTGGCAACTTTATGATGTTTCTCAATGCAAGTTCTGTATAGCCAAGGACTTTTAAAATTCGTTAGATATCACTTAACTGAAAGAGAGAGAAGTTGTGGGTCTTCAGTTGTCGTTGCAGGACAACTGATGTGATATTTTAATGTTAACTGGGTTGTCTAGGACTGATGGAAGTTGCAGTACAATATACCTAGAGCAGTGGTTCCCAACCTTTTTTTGACCAGGGATCACGCTTCAACATTAGTACCAAAAGGATTATGGTCAACTTTAGATTCGGTTTGGTTATTTGCTGATTCAGAAAATTGCATTGGCTAGACCACATCAGCTCTAGCTTCTGATACATAACATATGCCATTCAGTAGTCTCCATCTGCTTGCCCACCAAAAAAAAAAAATTAATAAGTCTCGGCACTATAAGAGGGTTTTGGCGAGACCAGTTGCTCTCGTTGCAACAGTGTAGTAATGGTGAAGTCACGGACCATATTTTAGTTCCTGCGGACCACTGGTGGTCCACGGACCACAGGTTGGGAACCACTGACCTAGAGCATCACAGCTGCCCACCCTCTTATTTAAATGTCAGATCTCATTTTTCTTGTGATCTTCACAAGAATTTTCAGAAAACTCATTGGCAGGTAGTAGCATGGAATAATTTTATACATAGAATTTCAAAAGGAATTATATTCATCCAGGGAAGTGGGTTGATGTGACAGGGCTGGACATTGTGTGGGTTTGGAGGAATACATATGAGAACACAATTTCCCCTCCAAACACAAGAAAAGCAGGGCATCTTATTGGTATTTTTACTGACTTCTCTCCTCAGACCTTTCCGTAGACTGGACGGCAATGGGGACTTGCAGTGGGACAAAATAAGTAGGCTGGAGAAAGGACAGGTGTATAAACAGGTAAGGAAAGAGACCTTGGATGGGAGGGGGGCAACACTTCATAGCAGTGGGATTATGTGCCTTTTGTTACAGCTAAGTTAATTGACATGACCTTTCCACTAACAGCAAAAAGCTTCCTGGTTGTGGTAATCCCACAAGAATAAAATATCAAGATTCAGATTGGCTATTGATAGTCTTTCCGTTGAATAATGCACACATCTATCAAAAAGGGAAAGAAGGATGATCATTGCTTATTTTCTCCATCATTGCGGTTTTATGAGACATTTTTGGAGAGAAATCGGAAGGAATGTAATGTGCGTTGGATACAAACCAGATATATGTGTGTGTGTGTGTGTGTGTGTACGTATGTATGTATGCCATCAACTTTTCAATTCTGGCTTTGATGGCATTGGTTCTAATGGCTTGTTCTTGGGCTGCCAGATTATTATTATTATTATGTACTGTACCATATATATAGAGAGTGGGGGGGAGAGTGTGTGTTAAGGTACATAATAATAATAATAATAATCATCATGACCTGATTCTGGCAGCCCAAGAACAAGCCATTCGAACCAAGGCCATCCAAGCCAGAATTGAAAAGTCGACGACAGATCCCAAATGTAGACTCTGCAAGGAAGCAGATGAAACAATAGATCACATCCTCAGCTGCTGCAAGAAGATCGCAGACAGACTACAAGCAGAGGCATAACACCGTTGCTCAGATGATTCATTGGAACTTGTGCCACAAATACCATCTGCCTGCGACAAAGAACTGGTGGGATCACAAGCTGGAAAAAGTTACAGAGAATGAACATGTCAAGCTACTCTGGGACTTCCGAATTCAAACAGAGTTTTGGAGCATAATACCCTTGACCTCACAATCGTGTTAATTAACAAAGTATGGATTGTCGATGTTGCAAACCCAGGTGACAGCTGGATCGAAGAGAAACAACTGGAAAAGCTGACACGATATGAGGATTTAAAGATTGAACTGCAAAGACTCTGGCACAAGCCAGTCAAGGTGGTCCCAGTGGTGATCGGCACACTGGGTGCAGTGCCTAAAGACCTTGGCCTGCACTTGAACACAATTGGTGCTGACAAGATTACCATCTGCCACATTATAGATCTGCACACATTATTCGCCGATACAGCACGCAGTCCTAGACACTTGGGAAGTGTCTGATGTGTAATCCAATACAACAGCCAGCAGAGTGTCTGCTGTGGACTCATCTTGTTGTGTTTCAAATAATAATAATAATAATAATAATACTTGGATCTGCGCGCATCATTCGACAATACATCACACAGTCCTAGACGCTTGGGAAGTGTTCGACTTGTGATTTTGTGATACGAAATCAAGCATAAAGATTTCATTTGCTGTGACATACTGTGCTTTTGTGTCAATAATAATAATAATAATAATAATAATAGTAATAATATATTTTTAACACGCCCTCTCTCCCCGAAGGGACTCAGGGTGTCTTCCAAACATAAACATAAGATTGGCAAACATCCATAGCCATCAAATCAACATTAATGCATTTATATGTAGAGATTAAAACAAAATGAAAGTCATTGGCTGGTAATATGAATCAAGCCGTTAGGCATCATGGTATACTACTTACATTGATCAATGGATAAGTGAACCCAGTTTTTTGGGGTCATTTTGTTTTACTAAATTCTTTTGATTGAAATATGCAGTATCTTTTCCAAAGGACTCCCAGTTTCTAGAGGGGACGTTGGGTTTATCTTCCACCATATTGGTAGAGAGGGTTTCCTCTTTTCTATATCGACATTAATATTGAGCATAGGCATTTTGTTCCTACGTTTGTAGAGGTCTTTTGTACAGAGATCACATGCCCATCTTTAATATACCATCTCTAATTTCTCTCATTTTCCTTATCCCAAATTAGGGCAATCTCTTTGATTTCCTTCGGCTGACAGGCTGGCGTGGATCTAAAGTCCTCTACTTTGGCGACCATCTTTACAGTGATTTGGCGGTGAGACAACGAAGCCTTATTTTTCTTGCTTGAAAGCATCCACTTAATGGGGTGGTATCTAGGAATACTGAGTTTTAAGTTTGTCCCAGAAAAGTAGAATATATGAAATTTCTGAAGGTTTTTTTCCCCTCCAAAACTTTTATTACACCTTCCTTTTGCAGGATCTGATGCTGCGGCATGGCTGGAGGACAGGGGCCATAGTTCCTGAGCTGGAAACGGAGACAAAAATGGTGAACACTGAGCAGTACTCGCAAGCGCTCACATGGCTGCAAGCCTTAACTGGATTATTGGAGCGTATGCAGGTGAGGAAGAAGAGAACAGGGAAGGTTGCTTCATTGCTGGGGATGAAATTAAGGGAATCTAGAACTCTTCATTGGAGGGAAGGGTGTCCCTAAGAACTGTGGACAAGGGATATTCAAAATAGCACCACTGTACAATGCCCCTCAAGCAAGGATGCAGAACCTATGGCCTTGCTGAATTGCAATTTCAAGTATTTATCACCATTATTCATTTTTTTCCTAAGGTTGATGGGAATTATAATCCAAACAGTGAAAAAGTAGGCCACGTATCCACCTGCTATCAACCCAGAAAGCCCAGTAACATATTTGTCGTAGAGTTATATTTGATTTATTGGGTTGTGGACCTCAGCCTGCAGAGAAAAAAAAAGTTTCTTTTGTAAATGATGTGGGACAGCCAGAGATTTGTCTAACCATTTGCTTTGTTTCCATTTTCTAAAAGATGTTCCAGGATCCAGAATCCCAGCAGGTGCTGCAGGACTGGATGAAGGAGAGACAGGAACTCAGGTATCATTACAAAATACCTTCTTCTTTGGCTTCTCTCTAGATTTACCATTTCTAATCGAAGTTTCACATTGTTTACTCGGCTGGATGCCTTTGGCCTTGAAATATGAGAAAGTGTGCATGAAGGTGAGAGAATAAGAGACATGCACAGAGAGAACCGCAAGGTGTACTTCATGTGCTAGTCTGCAGGCTAGTCGCACCTTTCAATATTTTATCTTAAGGCTGGCCTACTTTGCAGCCTCTTCCCATCCTTTCTCTTTCTGGATTCTAATTCCTGTTCATATTTTTTTCTGCACCCCCTTGGCTTCATTGCATATTGTTGGATATAGAATAAGTCAACTGAATCTAATTAAGTCAGTTTTCATTGAGATAAAGGCCTCTTCTACACTGCCATATAAAGTCCAGATTATCTGTTTTGAACTGGATTATATGGCTGTGTAGACTCATACAATCCAGTTCAAAGCAGATAATCTGGATTATCTTCTTTGATCATATGGATTATATGGTAGTGTAGAAGGGACCTAAATACTATCGTAAGTAAATTGGATATGACTTATGATTTTCTCTGTCTTTCTGAAATAAAAACCTTTAAAGAATCTATCATAGCAGTATTTGCTCACATTTCAGTTTTCCTTGTTTCCCAAGCACATGTTGCTTCATTTAGCAGTCCAAAGCTATGTTATATAAATACTCCTTTGCTGCTAAAGTGTTTTATGGTGAAGAGCAGGAAATTCATAATTTCACAGACACTTGTAAGTGATGCTGAAGAAGCAGAGGTTGAAATAGTTGCTCTGTTTTTATGACAGCTTCCCGCATCCCTCAGATGGGATGGTCTGTGGCCATGTGGGTTGTAGGATTCTGGGAGCTGTAATTCAAAAGAGCACCTTTTCCAAGTACCAAGGGATGGGCCAAAGTGACTCTTTGCCTGGTAACAAATGTCACTGAGACCTTTGAAAGGTTATATAGTGCCCCTAAGACAAACCTGTCATGGGATTTCTTGACAAGATTAGTTTAAACCAGTGGTTCGCAACCTGTGGATCCCCAGGTGTTTTGGTCTTCAACTCCCAGAAATCCTAACAGCTGGTAAACTGGCAGGGATTTCTGGGAGTTGTAGGCCAAAACACCTGGAGACCTACAGGTTGAGAACCACTGGTTTAAAGGCTGCTGTTACCTATTTTCCGGTCCCAATTCAAGGTGCAGGTTATCACCTATAAAGCCCTAAACGGTTTGGGACCCGCCTACCTTCGTGACCATATCTCCCTCCATGAACCAGCCCGGTCCCTCTGATCTTCTAGGGAGGCCCTCCTTTCTCCCCTGCCAGTTTCACAAGCTCACCTTGTAAGCACAAGGGAGAGAGCTTTTTCCTCTGTGGCCCCCCAACTCTGGAACTCATTACCTGGAGAGATTAGGAAAGCCCCTACCCTAGAAACCTTCAAAAAGAACCTTAAAACCTGGCTCTTCTGCTGCACCTTTGGTGAGTAGGTATACAACCTCATACCATTGCTTAGCCTCAACGTTTTGTCATTGTGGGAAAGCTTGATTTCACAACCCCCGTTTTTAATGAACCCTCCTCCGCAAATAATCTACTTCTCCTTTATCTCACCCGAGTTTTTAATCAGTTTTTAATTAGTTTTTCTTTCAATCATTACATGCAGCCTGCCCATTGTCACTGTGATTATGTTTACTGTAGTTTTTATATGTTTATGCATTCATATGTTTTATGTAATTATGATGTTGTTTATTGCTTGTGTTTCTGCTTTATTTTGCTGTAATTTGTTGTTTGGGCTTGGCCTCATGTGAGCTGGCCCAAGTCACCATCGGGGAGATGGTGGCGGGGTATAAATAAAGTATTATTATTATTATTATTATTATTATTATTATTATTATGTTATGATCATCCAGTGGGTTTTGTGACTGAGCAGAGATTTGCACTCTGGACTCCTAGAGTCCTAGATTAGCACCCAGACTAATACACCACATTTTTAGTAACCTAAATAACTCAAAAATTTGAATTTATGCCGCTTCCCACCTCATTCCTATAACAGACAATTCATGGAACTGCTACCATTTACTGTTTTAAATGGTTTAAACTGGTTTTAAGCAGTCTCGCTTATAGGTTTTAAAGTGTTTAAGTATTTTTAACCATTTAAAATTGTTTCAAATTATATTGTCTCCTTCTCCCAAGATCCTCTGATATAGGGAGGAATGTAAATATTTAAATACATCTGTTTGAAATAAAGGTTGAGGAAAGTACAATCTTTCAGAGACAAAATTGTAATACAACCCATATACTCTGATCCGGGTGGTTTTTCTTGTGGTAGAGAATTCCTATGTTTAATTTCTCCATGTAAAGAAGATCACCCCCCTTCTCTCTGGTCAGTCTCGCACCATTCAACTTCATTAGATGACCCTGTATTTGAGTACACTGAAAGCAAAGCTAAAACCTCTCTCCCCACACATGCCTCCTTCCTTCCTTCTTCTCAACCATGTGCACAAATCAATACATTTTGACATTTCCTGGTCATGTAATTTTGATTATATAAATGTTTTTATCAATAGTCAGGCTCCTTCTACACTGCCATATAAATCCAGATTATCTGCTTTGAACTGGATTATATAGCAGTGTAGACTCATATAATCCAGTTCAAAACAAATAATGTGAATTATCTGCTTTGATAATCTTAATTATTTGGCAGTGTAGAAGGGGCCTCAGTTAAATAATGAGACTCCCACCCCTTTATCATCTGTTAAAAGGGCATTCGGGGGGGCGGGCGGGTGTGATTGGATGATGCTTCTTTAAAATAATAATAATAATAATAATAATAATAATAATAATAATAATAAATAATAATTTTATTTATACTCTACCACCATCTCCTCAAGGGGACTCGGGGCGGCTTACATGAGGCCAAGCCCAACAACACATCAGTAAAAACAAAACAGCAAGCAAATAAAACAGTACAATTAATATAACTCACATATAAACAATAATACAGAGAATTTAAAACCTTATGGCTGAGCATTTTTAAAAATCTAAGGAGCATTGTCGAAGGCTTTCATGGCTGGAATCACTGGGTTGTTGTAGGTTTTTTCGGGCTATATGGTCATGTTCTAGAGGCATTCTCTCCTGACTTTTTGCCTGCATCTATGGCAAGCATCCTCAGAGGTAGTGACCTCACTACCTCTGAGAATGCTTGCCATAGATGCAGGCGAAACGTCAGGAGAGAATGCCTCTAGAACATGGCCATATAGACCGAAAAAACCTACAACAACCCAATGTAAGAAGCCATAAAATCTGTAGAAGTAATATTTTGGAGGAGGCATAGAAAATGCCTCTTTCAGGGTGCTTTTTCCTTAAACATGCCCCCGGTGGCGCAGTGGGTTAAAGCCTGTGCTGGCAGGACTGAAGACCGACAGGTCGCAGGTTCGAATCCCGGGAGAGGCGGATGAGCTCCCTCTATCAGCTCCAGCTCCTCATGCGGGGACATGAGAGAAGCCTCCCACAAGGATGACAAAACATCAGAAATCATCCGGGCGTCCCCTGGGCAACGTCCTTGCAGACGGCCAATTCTCTCACAACAGGAGTGGTTGCTCCTGACATGACAAAAAAACAAAAACACCATTAGAAAATAAGGGGAGTATGTTGTTTTCTTAAATATACTTTAATCATATGGTAAATATATGTAAAGTTCATTGATTAAAGAAATCATTGTGTAATCGGGTCATCAGACGGCAGTCTGAATACATAATTTGTAATTAGATTTCATGCACGAAGCACAATGTATGTCATGCATAATGCTTTGACTGGTTAAAATGCAAGCAAAAACAGAATGAATGAATCCATTCTTAATTGAAAACAATGCCAAAGCAGTGGTGCTGTTTCCATCCATGATGGATAGCCTTCACATCCGGTGAATGCTGGCAGGGACCTTTCTGCTTCTCGTAAATCGCTGGGAAACGTGATTCTGTTTTTACTGCCTTTTAGTTTGACTAGCCTTTTGCTCCCTGTTGTCCTCACATTGTTGGACTACAAGTCCCAGAATGCTGGTTGTTTGGAAAAACAAACCCAACACGGTTGAAGGTGGAGCTGATACCCATGAGACTGATGCTGACGTCTAGCGGAAGTGCTGCACTTAGATTAAATATTGATAAGGAATTCTTGTGATCGGTGGAGAGCTTGAATGGTCCTGAGTGCCACCCCCAGTGCTGGCAGCCATTGTTTTATGCTGAATAGCTTAAGCAATAGTTTCCCTTCTACGTGCACATACAACACAAGCACATTGCATGCACTGATAATTCCCAGAGAGAATTACAAGCGGAAGGCTTTGCTGCTGAGGGTCATGTCTCCTTTGTAGGATTGGGTTTCCTTGTCTATAGAAAACAATAGGCCGGACTGTGCAATGTAATAGCTCTTTGGATTCGCCCCCCCCCCCCCCCCCCCCGCCTTCTTGCATTTGTATATATACTCCAGGCATGTGTTACTGTAGGCTGCAGAGCAGTTGTCAAGTTTTCCTAACCACTAGATAGTACTCTCTCCCCAGGCTGGAAAACCTTGTACCGATTTGTCTGTCAAAATTGTTGTTCTGTATGGGAACAGTAGACAAGGTTTACTCTTGTACATGTTGTATTCCCTATACTTTTCAAAATAACAACAAAATTCATTGACTTAGTATAAAGCGAAGTGACTTTGATAGATGAATACAAAACGGAACTAGTCTAATTCCCCTTCTACTTGTAACGGGATGCATTGGGAAAACTTGACCCCTATCAATCTTATTTGAGCTTCGGATACTTCTGGCATTGCTCACAAATTGTCAGGCATACCCATGAAGACTAGGAACACATTTTCATTACTTCGTGGTATTAGATGTATGATTTTTTTTAACGTGTCAGGAGCAGACCAAACAGTTGTATAGCATTTTTTAAACAAAACACAAAGTTTGCAGATTTGGTACTCTATTAAATGTCCTTTGACCAGTATCTGGCCACTTGGAGTGCTTCTGGTGTTGCTGCAAGAAGGTCCTCCATTGTGCATGTGGCAGGGCTCAGGTTGCATTGCAGTAGGTGGTGTGTGGTTTGCTCTTCTCCACACTCGCATGTCATGGATTCCACTTTGTAGCCCCATTTCTTAAGGTTGGCTCTACATATCGTGGTGCCAGAGCGCAGTCTGTCACCCATGTCTGTTCCATGTCACCCAGTTTTCTGAGTGCCCAGGGGTGCGGGGAGTCTCTCATTTGGTATCAGCCATTGATTGAGCTTCTGGGTTTGAGCCTGCCACTTTTGGACTCTCGCTTGCTGAGGTGGTTCCAGCGAGGGTCTCTGTAGATATTAGAAAAATGCCTGAGATTTATTTATTTGATGTGTCAGGGCAACCAGTCAATTCTATTACATTTTTAACAGAACAAAACAAACAAACAGACAAAACACAAAATTTGCAAGTTTGGTAGTTGATTAAATGTCCTTTGACCAGTATCTGGCCACTTGGAGTGCCTCTGGTGTTGCTGCAAGAAGGTCCTCCATTGTGCATGTGGCAGGGCTCAGGTTGCATTGCAGCAGGTGGTCAGTGGTTTGCTCTTCTCCACACTCTCATGTCGTGGATTCCACTTTGTAGCCCCATTTCTTAAGGTTGGCTCTGCATCTCGTGGTGCCAGAGCGCAGTCTGTTCAGCGCCTTCCAAGTCGCCCAGTCTTCTGTGTGCCCAGGGGGGAGTCTCTCATTTGGTATCAACCATTGGTTGAAGTTCTGGGTTTGAGCCTGCCACTTTTGGACTCTCGCTTGCTGAGGTGTTCCAGCGAGTGTCTCTGTAGATTTTAGAAAACTATTTCTTGATTTGAGTATGTATGATGAAATCATGGTGAGAGATGGCTGTATTTTTTCAACAGCAAGACATTCTCAGGCTTGCATTAAAATGTTGTTACAGGAGGTTAGACCACATTTGGAATATTGTGTCCAATTCTGGGCACCACAATTGAAGAAGGATATTGACAAGCTGGAATATGTCCAGAGGAGGGTGATTGGAGAACAATCCCTATGAGGAGCGGCTTAAAGAGCTGGGCATGTTTAGGCTGAGAGGAGACATGATAGCCATGTATAAATATATTAGGGAAAGTCATAGAGAGGAGGGAGCGAACTTATTTTCTGCTGCCCTGGGGACTAGTACACAGAGCAATGGCTTCAAACTACAAGAAAGGAGATTCCATCTGAACATTAGGAAGAACTTCCTGATTGTGAGAGCCGTTCAGCAGTGGAACTCTCTGCCCCGGAGTGTGGTGGAGGCTCCTTCTTTATAAGCTTTTAAACAGAGGCTGGATGGCCATCTGTCGGGGGTGCTTTGAATGCAATTTTCCTGCTTCTTGGCAGGGGGTTGTACTGGATGGCCTATGAGGTCTCTTCCAACTCTATGATTCTATGATTGAAATATTTTCTGGATTCCAAATCTAATTTTTATATCTGATGGCTAATCCCTTCTCTTCCTTCCCACCACCCACCCCTTACTTCAGGGCACTCACCAAGAACCTCTTCAACCCTCAGTTTGGAAGCATTTTCCGCACGTGCCACAACCCCACGTATTTCTCCAGGCGCCTGTGCCGATTTTCGGACATCTACATGGCCTCGCTCAGCTGCTTACTCAACTACGACCTCAACTACACCTTTTACCCGAGACGCACCCCGTTGCAGCATGAGGCGCCCCTGTGGATGGACCAGCTCTGCACCGGCTGCATGAAGACTCCCTTTCTGGAGGAGATGGCACACATCCGCTAAGGACCTTGGAACCAGCGGAGGTCTTGCCTCCCTGTCTCTCACCTCCTAAGGGCTGTGGCGTATGGACTGCGGCCTTTCGTGGCTGTTTTTCTTAAACTGGATTGCCCGTCCTTTGTGGTGCATGTGTGTCAAATTTCCAAAAGTAGAGTGCCTGCTAGGAATTTCTCAACTGTTTTCCAAATGTCCCAACCGTACACATGTTGACATAGGAAGTGCTTGGTTGGCGTACAGACCAGGATCCAAGCATCTTCCATATTCTTTCCAAGAGCTCCATCAAGCTTGGGGCCAGTGTGAAATTGATCTGTGGCCTCTTAGTAGGGAGTGGTCTGTCTTATGTATTTCACAGTCATGAGAAGCAGTCCTTTGCATTGGACTTGTGTCCATTTCTCTTGAGGTGGGGGAGCATCACCCTGACAGCACACATTCAGATCTACTTGGTTTTGTCACTCCAGCCAGCAGGCATCTCAGCTACTTCTCTCCCCGCACAAGATCTACAGGTGCTTTGTATTGTTTGAAGTTTACATCCCCCAACATACTGTTGGGTTCTGGGTTTTTCTCTCCCTTCCCCTTGCTTGCCACAAAAAAGTACAGGGTAGCTATGGTGAAGGGAGGTTTGGGGAGGGAAAATCTTGTCCCCCGGTGAAGTGGTAGGGACAAGAGGTGCTATGGGGTGGGAAGTGGGCCTTTAACTGATAACTGGAATTTTGTAATTTTCAATAAAGTCTTTCTGAAATATTCACCTTCTGTGTTTTATGGAGCATGTAGTGAAAAATATAAACCTGAAGGAACCACTCCGAGTTGCCTTTCAGGCTGAGAGGGGCGGTATATAAATATAGTAAATAAATCTATATAAATAAAAATGTAATGTTTGTTTGTGGGATTAGCATAATTCAAAAACCACTGGGCGGATTGACACCAAATTTGGCCACAAGACACCTAAAGAGCGACCATCACTCAAAAAAATTAATTTTGTCATTTGGGAGTTGTAGTTGCTGGGATTTATAGTTAACCTACAATCGAAAGAGCATTCTGACCTCCACCAATGATGGAATTGAACCAATCTTGGCACATAGAACTCCAATGACAAACAGAGAATACTGTAAGGGTTTGGTGGGCATTGGACCTTGAGTTTGGGAGTTGTAGTTCACTTACATCCAGAGAGCACTGTGGACTCAAACAATGATGGATCTGGACCAAACTTGGCATGAATATTTCATATGCCCAAATATGAACACAGATGGAGTTTGGGGAAAATAGACCTTGACATTTGGGAGTTGTAGTTGCTGGGATTTATAGTTAACCTACAATCGAAAGAGCATTCTGAACTCCACCAACGATGGAATTGAACCAATCTTGGCACACAGAACTCCAATGACAAACTGTAAGGGTTTGGTGGGCATTGGACCTTGAGTTTGGGAGTTTTAGTTCACTTATATCCAGAGAGCTCTGTGGACTCAAACAATGATGGATCTGGACCAAACTTGGCACGAATATTTCATATGCCCAAATATGAACACA